AAATATGCATACACAGTTAGCGCAGCAAAGCCACCAGATTGAATCGCTCACGGACGAGCTGCAATCTTACATTGAACGTATACAAGTGGTAAGTGCTGTAATTACTTCATTTGTTTGTAGGGTGTCAAAACCCCCAATAGCTTACTTCTTAAGTAGCCATCAGTAGTCTTATCGGTGGGTGATTGATGTGTGTAAAGTAGTACTTGATGGACCGAAACATTCCTATTCAGATTTCAGTCTTACTTTATTCACATTTTCCTTTTTTATTTCCTTACATCTTTCATAAACATGTACCAACTAAAACTGAAATTAAAAATGATCTTCTACCACCTCTTCCCCTCCCCGCGCTCCCCTCTCCCGCAGGATTTGAGTGTAAAACAAGTGCTAATTGGTAAAAATTTTTACAGTTAATGGAGGATAGTGAACTGATGGGCGAGCACTATGGCCGTCTTTACAGACGTTACAAACACATGGAAGAGAAGTATACCGAGCGCTGCAATCAAAATGCCGTTCTTAATATGGTAACTTCCACGATACTCATTATAAGTAGCTAAAATTTCCCTAATTTTTTCCTCTTTCGAGTAAATCCCAAAAATTTTACGACCGGAAACAATCGGTTTTAGGAATTGGCTTCTTGCAAATCCAGCTTGACGAACCATCAGTTGGTGTTGGCGCAGTTGCAGGAGGCAGCAGACAATTGCCAGGCAAAAAATGCTCAGGTACGAAGGATGCTTTCTGACAGGCAAAAACATTTGTTGATTTGAAAGAAATTTTATCAATATTGAAGCAGGGGATGCACACGCTTGAGAGAATCATTGGTTTTTTGTGAGAACTGATCCCATTTTTTTAATTTTGGGAAGAAATTTTTCTTTAGAGGAAGGGAGGTATAACTAGTTCTAGGGGTTTTTGCGGGATTTTCTTTTTTCCTCTTTTTTTTCAGTTCCATTTTCAAAAAAAAAAATCAGTAAAAATTCAGCTTTCCTCTCCAGAAAACTTTATGAAATTTCAGTACTGTGCCCAGTTTACACAGCTGTTGTTGGAACTCGGTAAAACACATGACAAAATTGATACACTCCGGAGTGCAGCAGTGAAAAACGAGAAGTTATATGAGCGATATGAAAAGGAGCATTGTATCAGTTCGGATAACATGAAGAACAGAATCGAAAAGTGGAAGGACATGCTGCAAACTGAAGCGGATGCAATAACGAAGTGGTGTGGTGAGATTTATTGCACCCCATTTGTTCTAAGCAAGTACTGCATGTAGGAAAGTGCCAGAATACTCACTCAAAACCCCCGCATCCATTTAGGGTTAGAGAGAAAATATGAGCAAAAAACGATGAAAGGGTTGTAAAGAATTATTAAATTAGGCAAAGAAATGTTTCGGTCCATTAAGTCGTATACATTTCTTACCGTTACCACAGTTGGACCTCGTCAGTACAACGATTGTGGTAAAAGAATTTTGAAAGGTAATTTAGTGAGATAGGACAACTTGTGAAATTGAAGGCAGCATGTGCCAAAATCAACCACTCGTTGGCAAGATGTTTGTAGCCTTCTTTTTCAATTATGCGTTAGAAATAATTTGGCGGTGAGCTCAACTTTCCTGGCAAACGCCTAATCTAGTTTAAGTCGCGCTGTTAGCATTCCGTTCATATTGCTACTTCCTCCTCTCGACACTTA